TGGTGCCTCCATGGAAGTGAAGCAGCCTTTCTGAAAGCTCAGATAGCTGGGCACAGATAAGGAAAAGTGTGATGGTTCACTGCAATACAGAGATGACCTCAAGCAGATTTTTGTTTCACTCTAAGTGGTTTGTCTTCATTTAAAGTGCCTAATTTCTCTGTTTCTGAGCCTATAAAATGGAGATACTGCCTTCCTGCATTAGAGGGGGTTCCACTGTGAAGCATTTTGAGATGATTAAATGCACATTATTATCATGTTGAGACTCGAAGGCACTGACCTTGACAAAAAGGTGAGCGACAGCCTGCCTGCATGATCAAGCAGCATTAGTGAAGCCAGCACTTCCCTTTCATGATGCTCAACTGCAATATAATCATCTCTAATGTAGCTGTTGGAGGCACTTTCCAGCCTCACTGGCAGAACTTGCTCAGCAAGGTCTTTTCCACAGCATGCAATTACAAAATGAGAATGGAGGGAGGGAACGGGATGAATGAAAACAAACATCATTCTAGGAACAACTGCTGGTGGTTAATACTTGACCATTACTTCTTGACAGGATTAATGTCTTTCTAATCACACTAATCCCTTCTGATAACTTTATCCATAATCCATCTATTTCAAAGCAACATCCAGATGGCTTCTGGTGGAGAGGAAGACAAAATTAACATGCAGAATGGGCTCTTAGCAGCAGCTTCTTGTATTTTCCCTTTCTGGGGATATAGGGTTTGATCTTGAGACAGGACAAAAAATGTGCTTTCATCAGACAGCAAGAGAAAAACCTAGAGAATTGCAGGGAAGATAGAAAGATCTATTTTTATTCGTAAATAAATTACCTGATGCTTATCTGTGACAGCCAGAACAAGCCTAGAGGTGCTCAAAAGGGTTTAGCTACTTGTTTGCATGGGACTAATTAGATTTCCAAGATATTGGAAAGAATTCCCTTCTTCTTTACGTCAAAAATTCTATTTTAGTCTTGGGGGTTTTATATGGGTTTCCCTCAAAGCAGACATGAAACTTAGTACTTGGTTCTTTGGTTCATACAATTACAAATACTTTAAACAATATAGAAACTGACTTTACCTTTTTAATTAGTCACATATAATTCCTAGAATTGAAAATGCCTTCCCCTTCCCTTTAGGCTTGACAGGTTTTTTTCTATACGAGCTAAAATATGGTGTCTGAACATGAAATTACAATTTTGTGGATTTTTTTTTCCCAGACTGACAAAGGAGTGAGAAGTACAGTAATTATTTATAAAAGCTGCAGATTGCTTTTTATTGTCTTAATCCTGTTTTGTCTGTTCAGCAATCATTAAAACACACTATGGAAGAAGCTACACATGAATCACAAGTGTGGAAGCTACTTAACTACACAGCTTCTCAAATAATTTCAATCTATGTATCAAATATCTGCCCTGTTCTTTCAAGGCCAACCAGATCCTGAGGTTTGACAAGAATTAAAGGTACACTCTTTTCCATTCCAGTATGTTTCATGAGAGTCTAGCAGTGGAAGCTATGAGAATAGCTTTGTTCTGGTTTAGAAGAATCTTGGGAAACTCTTCAGAAGTTTTTATGTAGCCAAAAATGTCTGATGAAAATTAGACTTTGAGGAAGGACCTGAGCATGATACAGTGATCTTAGTTTAAACCAGCTGGAAGCTTATTCCTCCTGCCCCTCTGTTCTCTAGTGTCACACTAGGACATGAAATAACTCACACATGCACGCTAGATACGAAAGAGGGAAAAAAGAGCAAAAGTAGGGAACTTGCAACCTTGCAATATACAGAATTTCAAAAGTGGCAGTGGATTGGAGGATGAAATTGCTACCTCTCCAAGCACACTGGTCAAAATAACAGTCAATCAATTCTCTCTTCCCACAAAGAATGCAAAACAATCATTTACATGACAGTGGGCAAGAACTCTAGTAGAAATATGTAAACATCAGAAGGCATAGAAAACTTTTAGAAGAACTTTAAAACTTTCAAAAGAACAGGGCAACAGCCTAGGAAGTAAGAAGAGTACTTTTTCCTGTCATCCTTTAGCTACGCTGTGTGAATGTTAGAACTCTAGAGATAACAGTAATAAACTGCTGTGATGTGACTGTGTATTACCTGCTTTGTACAATAACTGTGATAACCACTAAGTCTCTTAATCTTTTTGTCTTTTGTCCTGTTCCTTCTGGTATTAAATGCATGAAGTCCAACAAAATATAGTGAATGAGTGATTACTGTCTCCTAGTTACAGGCATTTCTTTCTGAAATGATTCTGAGCTATTGCCTAAAATGGCATGGCCACTGTTACTCCCCAGCCTTTGGAGAACTGGTTCCAGTGGTCCCTCCCTGAGCACTGCAGCCCATGGAGAACACAGGGTTTTGTCTGAGCCCAGACTACTGTTCATGCTTCTGTCACATCCCAGTTACCCCACTGCACCTCCATAGTTAATTACTTTTGATGACTTTCTCATCACAGCATGAACCGAGCATGACTTTATCTGGTGGCAGGATAATCTCATTACAGATGATGATCTTGTTAATGAATATCCCCAAGACAGAGCAATCTCATTATTAGCCCCCTCAGGATTTGTCACCTATGAGCCAAGGTAAGGTTAGATTCCAGCTGAACAACATCCTCCCAAATCCTAAGGCCCTGCATCTTGAGGTTGAGGCAACAACCCTAACTCACCTGAACCACTGGACATATTTAATTGGCATTTTTGTCCCTAAGTACTTCTGGAAAGACTTCTCAGGTGAGCAATCAAGACAGGGTTCATTCATCTGCTGTTCTGTAGAACCAACACGCCCAGAGGCATCAAGGACAACAGGAACAGTGTGGCTTCCCCACAGTGACAGTGGTTCCAGGGCAGCACCAGGGAGGGAAGGGGAGTGAAATCTCTGTTTCCTTGGAAGTGCCCTCTCCCAGGAATTGCTCTGCCTGCAAGTTACAGTCAGCCCTTCACACCACTGGTGTCACCTGCGTAATGCATCTATAAAGAACCCTGAAAATTGTTACCATGAAAAACATCCAACTGGTTAAAAATCAACCTGATTCTCATTTTCTTTTTTTTTTCTTTTTTTTTTTTTTTTTTTTTTTCCCGGGAATGTGGGAGTGGAACAGTGCTGCACTCTAATACAATATAGGTATTTACTCTGTGCAGCAATGAACTGTCAAACTGGCTCAATGGCCTGTGGAAACTCAGCCTGGAAGAAGAGTTCAGTCCTCAAAATCTAATAACAACACAGAATTTTTTTAACAGAAAACTGTCATAATAATTTGAGATAAATATATTTAACTTAAATGTTTTATTAAAAAAAAAAGTTTTAGAATATTTACTCTTCTGCACAGGCTCATCCAAGGGAAATGCCAAGGAACAAAGCAGCATTCCTACTACTCTATTTTCAATATGCAGTGCTGTATTTGTACACAGTGCTTTGCAGACACACAGAAAGGTGGGATTTGTATCAAATCCAATGATAAATAAAAACAAAGAACAATGGTTACAAGAGTGACAGTTGCTGAGATGCTAATTTTCTAAATTATCCAAACTCCAGTGCACCCTTGCTCCTACAGTGTTAATAAAACCCATGCTAGATGAGAGATTGGCAATGCAGAAAAGCAATACATATTTTTAATTAATCTAGTGGGTAGCTGGAACCTGAACACTAAATCCACCCATTTGATTTCATTAAATCTACTATAAAGGTTAAGCTGCACTTTAGCATTGGCTCTAGACAAACTCTCTGAGCAGTGTGAGGTCAAGATCTCATTCAAGGAGGTGCAGCTTAGTAAATATTTATGAGGACAGGTCTGATAAACAGGTCTGTTTTGATGAGAAAGCTGGGCACACTAAATAATAAATGTGAAATTTTATTTCACCTGTACTTTTCCTGAGATGTATGCTTGGGAGAGTTCACAAAGAATTATCCAAAGGGAAATCTCAATTTAAAGCCCCAAACAACACTGCTGTCAGTAGAAAATCAAATCCCAAACTCAGGTCATTTGGAAACTGCATCAGGGTCTATGTCAAAGCAGCCTAAAGAAACCTCAGGGGCCAAAGAGTGCCCTGTCTAATCTGCCTGTACAAGAGGGTCAGTGGAGCTAAATCTCATGGTAGAGAATTGTATAGCTTGGCACAGGCAAACTGTACAAGCAAGAGGATGGACACTGGTAATGCTCTGGCAGTGCTAGGCAAGGAGCTGAAGAGGAAAAATCCTGATGGGTCCCTTCCAACTCAGCATAGTCTATGTATGACTTTGTTATTCTCTGATACTATGGAAAGGCTGAAGTGATCACAGCATGTTCTTTGCTCCCGACTGGGCAGCCACACTTCCCACAGAGGTGTTTCCTCTCAAACCCATCCACTGTCCACATTTAGACTGAAGGCACAATGAATTACAGTCTGCTCCCAGTGTGCTTCCTGGCAAAGCAAAAATATATTGAATTTATTTTAAAAGAAAAAAAAAAAAGTTATTCTTTTTGCTAAAGAATGGACTATATGACAAAATTGCCCTTAGTGTTTTTAATATTAAAATTGTGTCCCCACTTCACACACGAAGGGCTGATTCGGTTGATTAAATTTTCTTCCGAGGTCCATTCAAATCTGAATTATTTATTATTCTGTAAAATTATGTGTAGAATATGACACACAGAGTTTTAATAACTACTGCCACTACTCCTGTGACCTGAGCCAACACATGTAACTTGTGTGAAACTGTCCCTGGAATTTCAGGGAAGAGTCAGTAGGACTCAGTCCCCACATGTGCAGCCTGAGCTTGGTAGTTCCTTCCAGTAACCAGGATCTGACCTGGCAATTGGAAAACGCCCCTTCAGACACAGACACTACAGCTTTAGTGTTACTGGAAAGCTTATTAAAACACTGACATGTAGAATCAGCTGTAAGAGAGGCAGGCAGGCTGGAATAATTCAGAAATTAGGCTTTCAGCTGCATTAATGTATTGCAAAATAACATTCATTTAAATACAATTTCTGCTGTGTTTTCTTCCCACAGCTTGATGTCTGGGCTGGCAGCCCTGGATGCCAAGACTTCCAGTCGCTTGGGAATCATAACTGTCACTTACTACCTGTGGACAACCTTTGTGGCTGTGGTTGTGGGAATAATTATGGTGTCCATTATCCACCCTGGTGGAGCAGCACAGAAGGAGAGCACTGAGGAGGGTGGAAAGCCCATCATGAGCTCTGCAGACGCACTGCTGGACTTAATCCGGTAACCACATCCATTCTTTCTGCTTTCTGAAGGCAGCATTTTGTACACAACTGCAGGAGGAACTGTAGCCTGAGCCTCAGTTCTGAATCTAAGGATAAATGTTTTGTTGAGACTGAGAAAAAAGCTTCAGAAGATAATTTTCAAGTTATCAGCTGTTTATATTGGCTGTTTCTTGTAAAATTTAAATGAATGGCCACCAACCAACAACAATGGAGCAGGTCTTTTATACCCCACAGGAGTCCATATAGCCTGTGGAGCTCTCCATCCAATCCATTATTAGGGTCAAGGGAGTATTAAAATGTCATGTTCATTTAAATAAGACAGTTGCAATTTGCAAAACCTTAAATAAAGGGGTGAAACACACATTTCTCAAAAAATAATTCTCAAAAGTGCTGTTCATACTAATTTGCAGATAAAGGACAAAATTAGAAAGACCACTGTTGTGTATTTTTTATTCTGCTTTGGGTCTTTTTCTTATTTGTTTTATTTTGTTTATCAAAAGACACAGTTGCTCTTTTAGAACAGCATTAGGGCACTGCTGGAATTTCATGGCTTTGCCTGAAATCCCTTTTTGTCCCAGTATTTCAGGTGCTAGTGGGATTGGTTTGTTGACTGAACATATTCTGTGCCTTGGATTTATTTTGCTCATGCAGAAAGACCAAGTTTTGCCTTTGTTTGGTAGTTCCTCAAGTTTCTGATCTCATACTACCTCAGTCAAGGACTTTCAGGCCAAGTGTGTATCAGTACCACAGAGAATTCTCTTTGGAGTCAAACTTACTGAAAATAAAAATGGTTCACAGTTTGCCTTTCAAAAACCCAAATTCCTGACTCTGACAGCATGACAGCACACAAAGTACTTTAACTAGACTTATTTGGACTTCAAACAGATGCAACTGAGAAGAGAAGCTTACAAAAGACCCTTTTTTTCTCCTCCAAGTTGCATTTACCCAGGCCACCTGTATTTGTATTTTACATCTTTGTGAAAATGGGCCAAAATATTTTAATCATGGAGCAGCAGCAGAGGACAATCTCTTTTGTAGCTTCTCACAAAACCACCATCTTCACCTGCATTGGGTACCCATCTGTATCTCTCCAGTGACTTTGCCTTGAGGGATGGACATGCAGTGGAATTTTGTTTGTGACATGGGGTTAAGTCACATTATTCTGTTTCTGCTGCACAAAGGACTGTAACTCCTACACCAAGAGCAAGTTACACGACTTTGAATTCCTTAGTATGACAGAGTAGCATAAGAAGTAAAAGAGAATCTAAGATAAATGTCACTAATGATTGTCTCCATAGTGGCAGTGTTTGGGAAGCATTCCTAGTGTGCTGAGTGGTTTCTAAGGCCTTGGTCAGAGACAACGAAAGGCACAGTGGGACACACGGTGCAAAAGTACATCCAAATGGCCCTTATAGCTCTGTCTGGGAAGGGTCTCCCTCACCACAGGTTCTCATTCCCTTTCTCACACCAGCCCAGTTGCCTTTAGAGGCTCAGAGTAAACTTGTCATGGAGATGAGTTAGATGGAAAGTAATCTGGGTTTTCAAAATCAAAATTTTCTATACTATTGTGTTTAAAAAAAAAAAAAGACTGAGACCTGAGTTACAATCTCATCTCTTCACCTCTGCCTGTCACTCCCTGTACACCAGAGGTGTTGTGAGGTTTGGGAACACATTATTCCTCTGAGCTCACTGCAGGTAAAAAAACATGTCCTGATCTAAATATTTGCAAGTATCTTCTATAATTGCACTTTTCTACAAATATTTACGCAAGCAAACCGTAATAGCTTGTGAGCACATTTCAGGTATTCAAGTTTCCGAGCAGCCACGTGCAAAATCTGCAAAACCTTAAATTCTTCACTGGTTTGAGTAGGTGTCAACAATGACAAGGTCAACAATGACAAGGTCAACAAGCCCCTCTCATACCTAAAGGTTAAAAAAAGAGAATCCAGCTCAGTGTCCTTTTGCTGTGCTCAGCAGCAGCCACAGCTGCAATCTTTCTATCCTGAGAGCACAAACGGATGGTATTTATTCCTCTGCTACAGAAATAACCACACTTACTAAATAAATAAATAATAACAACAGAACTGTGGGGAATGCCCAGGCTTTCAGCCTAGGCAAACACTATGGGTGAAATTCTGGCTCTGCTGCAGACAGTTGCAAGACTTAAATATCTGTGTGGAAGTCTGGATTAAATGTAATGATGTATCTGCTGGTTTGAGCTAGAAAAGCTGATCCTTTAGCTCAATGATAAATTACTTCCATTCACAGCTGGGAACCATCTTTTTCAGCCCAGATTGGCTTATCTTCTCAATTCATTAATTTCCTCTCCATTTATCAATTGCATATGTGCCCAGACATTTACACAGGAAACATCTGGTACTCTGCAAATGAAGAATGGTAAATGTACAAGTGAAGAGATGATATAAGTGACATTTTTGTGGGGTTTATTTTAAAGAATGAATCTTGGCATGGTGATACATGTATTCACCCTCATTGATTTCAGATTTGAAGCCATTTGAAATGCTGAAAAACATTATTATTTCTTGTGATTTTATATATGACATTGTCATGTCTAGAACTTTTGGCAGGAAAGACATTGCTAGAAACTGAATGTCTTGAATTTTTGTGAGAGATTTTTGCTTTTAGTAGTGGTTTTAATTAGAAATTAAAGAATATACTGAATCAGCAAAAAAAAAAAAAAACCAAAAAAAACCTAGAGCAGACCCTCGTGGTTATCCTAAACATTAGCAACATTAACCAATTACCATGTTATTATTTATTAAAGCTCTTTATAATCCTCAGGCTAAGGATCATGTTGTCTTTAAGCACCTGGTGCTTTATGAGTTTTTATGGATTCATTCTCATGATGTGCAATACTTCTGTGAGGTAGGCAAGGACTATTTTCTTTTCTTACAGCTAAAGAACCAAAACACATGGAAAATAAATTATTTCACTGAGGATTTGTTCAGAAAGTTTTGTTGGGCCAGAGAAATATTCCCAGTACATACAAGACCTAGTAGGGTTCTTGTAGGAATATGGCTTTAGGACATCTCAGTATCAGTGAATCAACAAACATCTCTGCCTTCTTCCTGTGGGAATTATTGAAATTAACTTTCTACTTCATCCACAAAAATAAGAGTGACATTTTAGTATCCTTTTATGAGTTCAGAAATTAAGAAAGGCAAGATACAATTTTTTTAAGTAATTCAGCTTTTGACTGTTTTAGTCAAAAGGACAGAAAGGGACATACTTACATGAATTGTGTTCCATTTAAAATATTAGGTTTTTAGCATAATGACCTGACTAGGAGAATAGAAAATGCTTATAATTTGAGGACAAACATTTGCAAAAGTCATTCAGTGACCCAGGAGGACACTGTTGATATTAACAGTTAATATTTCCACATCTGTTACCTTTGATTTGGAAGGGGAGATTCTGCTACAACTGAAATCATGCCACCTGCATTTCCCACCAAGGGAAATAAAATTTGGCTTATGAAATAAACAAACAAGCGAAGTCCCAGCCAAACTGGGTTTCCCCTCCTGTTTTAGATCAGTCTGACTGCAGGTTTGGCCACCAGCAGGTGCAGGGCTCATATACCGTATTGGTTTTTCTCAAGTCTAACAAGACAGCCTGGCATTGTAAACTTATTCAGCTCAAAAACCCCAAATAAATCAATTCAGTGAAGGCAAACAGGATCAAATCACACCTTGATCCATGAGAAATAAATTTTTACATTTCTGAAGTTTACTGGAGAGAGAAATCAGAGCATTTTACCACTGAATATTCAGGATTGCATTCAATTTAATAGCAGGTACCCAGAAAATCAATTTGGCTTAACCAAGAGAGGTTTTATTTTTATACCAGTTAAGAGTTAAAAGAGGATATAAACACTGTAGAGGATTTACATTTTCATGGGAATCCTGAGCACTCTTTAAAATCACTTCCTTTCCCTTTTTTCAAGCTAAGGGCTATATTCTATATTATTGAAATTGTGTTTCTTGAAAATAGGGCAGGAAAAACCCAGGATCTGTTGTAGTGCGGAAAACGTCCAGGTTGTGCAGAATCAGGAATTACACCTTTAGAAGTTTACAACTGAAGACTGAATTGTATGTAGGCACAGTAATATATTTAAGAGTGCATTAAATGATCCAGCTTTAAACCATGAAAGAACTTTTGAAAATAAGTATGCTGTACATTAATTTATTTTTTGCCAAAAGCTATTGTGGACTATGATAGAAATATTTATCTGTCCCCTATGGCAAAGCACCATTTTTGACTCTTTTCAGATTGCCAGGTTTTTTTAATCTCACAAAACGAGCCTTATGCCAGAAATGTCCTGCCCTGGGACCAGGTCTTTGTTTCTGGTTGATTTTTAAGAGTTTGATTTCCACAGGAGCCCCAACCTTAAGTATTTACAAAGAACTCTCAACCCTCTAAATGTGTGGTCTCTATTTGGCACAAAATGAATCCAACATGGAATAAAGATAATTCCATGATGAAAACCACCCTGAGGAGATGGGCTATGAAGCAAATTCTGCTCTCTGGTCAGGAGGCTTTAGTCACAGAGAGGGAGATACACAGGGGCCAGGAATTAAAAGTGCACTAGGAAAGCTTTGACCTTGTAGGGAATTTGTTGTCCTTTTTGAGATGCCTAAAGCTGTGATGTACTTGTGCTTCCACTTTCAGAGAGCCACAGCCCTGCTGGGGCTTTGTCAGGACCTTTTCTTTCAGAGGAAGCAGGGTAAGAAAGTTCAGGTCCCTTACTGGAACCGAAATGCCATGCAGCCCTCAGGACAGATAAAAAGTCCACATTTGACAAAATGATTCCACAATGTGAGTTCTGCTCTGATCTTTGAAAAAACCAAAGCAAGACAAAGTAACTTAGACCCGATTAGTAATTTTTGCATTCTCTAAGTACTTTTTATCCCAAAAATGAGGATTTTAATGCTTCGTTAATTCTGCAAAAGCCTTCTTTGGTCCTTTTAGCAGGAGGTA